ACACACACACACACACACACACACACACACACACACACACACACACACACAGAGTTATATACTGGAGGGATGACTCAGTAGTTAAGATCATATACTGCTCTTCCAGGGGATCAGAGTTTGATTCCTGGCATCTATGTGAGATGGCTCACAGCTGCCTGTAACTTTAGCTCTAGAGAATCTGTCACTCTTTTTGACCTCTGCTGGCACCTGTACTCATGTGCACATGCCAACACAAAGTTACTTATACCTACACATAAACAAAATAAGTCTAAAATAAGTCTTTTAAATAAGTCTAATAAAATAAGTCTTTAATATGTATACATATTTAAGAAGCTAATCAAAGATGTGTTTTTATATGGCTTTCAAACATACTTAGTGTTGGTTATCGCTCTTTTCATCCCCTCCTCTGCTTCCCCCCTCCCCTACTTAAACCTTTGGCTCCAGTTATTCCTGCCCTCCTTTATATCTTCTGTGTTCTAGTACTATAATTTTTTTAATGTTTTAACCTTTCTGTGAAAAACGTTTTCAGTAATAGCTGTAAACATATTCTTGGAATTTACAAATTTATCTCTCAGCATTTTAAAATGTCTCAGGAGAATTACTTTATTATTTTTTTCAGGCAAGGAAAGTAATGGATTTAAATTGTTTTTAAAGGTTGTGTGTATGTGTGAGTGTATGTGTTTGTATATGTGTTTGTGAATGTTTGTGCAGGTCTGGTGGATGGCAGAGGACCCCTTTAGAGCTGGAATTTCATGTCATCATTAGCAACCTGGCATGAGTGCCAAGAACAAAATTTGGGTCCCTCAAAAGAGCAGCAAATGCTCTTAACAACCAGGCCATGTCCTCAGCCCTGCAATGGGTTCTTTTAAATAGATGTATTCCATAATGAAGGAAAAAAAGTACAATACTCGAGTAATAACGCTTGGTGTTTGATCCAGGATTAGAGGACAGAGTGGGAAGAACTCATCATTGTAATATGTTTTATGCTGTCAGATATTTTTATTTCTATGAACCATTAATGAAAATTTTAGCTCATTTCCTCCATAGTAGGCAGTTTTTAAATGCAAAGTATTTCTAAGGTGCTGCCAAAATATTGTCACAATATGAACCTATAAGTAATGCACCATTGAGCAGTTATTAGTTCAGGATAGGTGGAGGCAGGAATGGTTAACTAAAGGTGGTTTAAACACTTAAGCCAAATTACAGTAACAAAGTAAAGAAGTATCATCCACTGATCTCTTACGACATTTAAAGATTTATACTTACACACCTTGCTGTACTTTTTGCTTTGAAGGTCTATCAACCAAGCTGATCCTGAAGTGACCGCACCTACAGAAAATGAGGTTTGTAATGTTGGTCCTGGGGAAACATACTCATTGCTGACCTTAATTTTCTTACTTAGGATTTTAAATAATTATTACTCTTTTTCTCATTTAATTAATTTTTAGAGAATTTCATACAATGAAATTTAATCATATTTATTCCCTGCCCTAAACTCCACTCAGGTCTGTACCAACTTCTCTACCCAATCATTTGTCTTTTTTTTATCTTGAAATTAAATTTATTGATTTATATTGGTTCATTGAGTGTGTGAGTGTGTGTGTGTGCTCTCATGAGGAAGGCAGAGGATAACTTGCTAGACTCAGTTCTTTCCTTCCATCTTGTAGACCTTAGGCATCAAGGGGAGGCCCATGGATCAAACTCAGGTTGTCATGCTTGACAGCAGTTGCTTTTTATCTGCTGAACTACCCATCCTCCATTCCCCTTCCCCATCCCTCATGCCTTGTTTTTTAAACCCATAGAGTCCAGTTTGTGTTGCCCATATGCTATCAATATATTTTTTACAAAAACAATTTATGTAAACCCTGTTCACCTACATGACACCAAATTCCAAAACATTTTCTCCGGACCTGATGTAATGTACATGGGTTCCCCTCTCGACTCCAGCTTCTTCATATGAAATTGATGTGTAAAGTAGAAGGCTTTGAGGTTTTCATGATTTATTATAATAAGTTAAGATATACATGCTGCCTGGCATGGTGGTGTACACCTTTAATCCCAGAACTTTGGAGAAAGAGACTGGAGGATCTCTGAGTTTGAGGATAGTCTGGTCAGCAGAGTAAATTTGAAGACAGCCAGGGCTACATAGAGAAACTGTCTTGAAAATACAAAACAGAAAGATGTAAACACTAATCTAAATGTTTGTTTAAAAATTCCATCTTAGTTTTGGTATGAAATTCAGTAGTATACATTGTCAAACTAATTCCTTTGTTGAAATGTGTACATGAGCATTTATCTATGCATTTTTCTCTCCCTCAGTGTTTAATATTCAGTCAATTCTCACATGAAGATTAAAGATTAAGCTTAATCTAGAGAATGTATATGAGGTAATACATTGAAATATTCAATTCCTCTTTTGAAGTTTCATTACATTCAAAATCCAATTGAAATATCTTATGGAAACTTTCTTGATATCAGTTTTATCAGGAATCTCTCTAAGACTGTTCCATAGACATGTGTTGACAATTTATTTGAGGTTGAAGATCATAAAAGTAAATGTATACTAAATAAACAAGTGGAAGGTAAAGGTTACATTCTGCTTAGAAAGTCTCTGCTCCCTCATTTGTATCAGTTTTTGAGAATCTTGTATAATATATTTGATCATTTTTACCTTCTCACCTAATTTACCTCAGATCCATCTCTAGTAACTATCCAACTTCAGGTCCTCTAAAAACAAACAAACAAACAAACAAACCTAATTAAAAAAAAACTCATCAAGTACAGTTGATATAGTCCAGATACTCTGTGATGTGACCTTTTACTGGAGCATGGTTACCCACCCTGGACTTTACTTCCTTTCTCAGAACTTATCAGTTGCCAATAGCTCCTTAGCTGTAGATGGGAGTTTATGCCGACTTTCCCTCAACATGCTAGGACATCTTGTGGCTTGAGGTTGTTCAGACTTGTGTATATTAATCCCGTCAATCCATGAGCATGGGAGATCTTTTCATCTTCTGAGATCTTCTTTGATTTCTTTCTTCAAAGGCTTGAAAGGAAATCCTGGATATTTATACCCTTTACCATGTGCCTTGCCCTCGTGAACAAGCACAGTTGAAGGCTGTATGTCATGTGCCTTGCAGCGTGGATATCACGTGTGCCTAGCTAGCAGCGTGGAGACCGTGTGCGCCTAGCTGCTGGTGGCACTAAGCAGCAAAACAAGATATGTGAGAAAAACAAGATGTTTATCAGAGTGTGCTTAGCTACTGTAGGCTGTTGAAAACAAGTCTCTTGTCAGGGTATATGGCTCGAGATGGCTGCAAAGATGATAGCCGCTTTCTGCTAGGAGTCGGCTCCCAACAATGGTGTCATGCTGAACAAAAGGTTTTAGTTTCTTAGATTCTGTTTATGTAACTATTGATTTTAATGCTCATGCTATCACATATTTGGTTAGAAAGTTCTCTCCTAGACCAATGAGTTTAACTCTATTCCCAATTTTCTCTTGTATTAGATTCAAGTTATTGGAGTTGTATGTTAAGGCCCTTGATTTAGTTGGAGTTGAGCTTTGTACAGGGTAAGAGAGAAAGTCCTAGTTTCACTGGTCTATATGTATCTATCTAATTTGTCCAGAACTATTTGTTGACAATTCTTTATTTCTCTAGTGTGTAGTTTTGGCTTTTTTTTTTTGTCAAAAATCAGGTGACTATATGTGTGTGAACTTATATCTGGGCCTTCAGTTCCATTCCATTTGCCACTGTGTCTGTTTTTATGACAGTGCAATGCTGGTTTTGTTGTTATAGCTCATAGTATAACTTGAAAATCTGGGATGATGATACCTTCAGTTTTTTTTTTCACTAGATGCTGAGAAAGCATTTGAAAAAATTCAACATCCCTTCATGATAAAAGTCTTGGAAAGATTGGGAATTCAAGGCCCATACCTAAACATAGTAAAAGCAATGTACAGCAAGCCAGTAGCCAACATCAAACTAAACGAAGAGAAACTTGAAGCAATCCCACTAAAACCAGGGACTAGACAAGGCTGCCCACTCTCCTCCTACCTATTCAATATAGTACTAGAAGTCCTAGCCAGAGCAATTAGACAACAAAAAGAAGTCAAAGGGATACAAATAGGAAAGGAAGAAGTCAAAATATCACTATTTGCAGATGATATGATAGTATACTTAAGTGACCCCAAAACTTCCGCCAGAGAACTCCTAAACCTGATAAACAACTTCAGCAAAGTGGCTGGTTATAAAATCAACTCAAACAAATCAGTAGCCTTCCTCTACATGAAAGATAAACATACTGAAAAAGAAATTAGGGAAATGACACCCTTCACAATAGTCACAAATAATATAAAATATCGTGGTGTGAATCTAACCAAGCAAGTGAAAGACCTGTATAACAAGAACTTCAAGTCTCTGAAGAAAGAAATCGAAGAAGATCTCAGAAGATGGAAATATCTCCCATGCTCATGGATTGGCAGGATTAATATAATAAAAATGGCCATCTTGCCAAAAGCAATCTACAGATTCAATGCAATTCCCATTAAAATCCCAACTCAATTCTTCATAGAGTTAGAAAAGGAAATTCTCAAATTCATTTGGAATAACAATAAACCCAGGATAGTGAAAACTATTCTCAACAATAAAAGAACTTCTGGAGGAATCACCATCCCTGACCTCAAGCTGTACTACAGAGCAATAGTGATAAAAACTGCACGGTATTGGTACAGAGACAGGCAGGAAGATCAATGGAATAGAATTGAAGACCCAGAAATGAACCCACACACCTATGGATACCTTCAATTTTTAAAAACTATTCACTGTTATTTTAGATATCCTGGATTTTTTGTGTTTTCATTTGAAATTTAAAATTATTTTTCATTTTTTATGAAGAATTGCACTAGGATTTTGATGCGGGGTTCTATTGAATTTGATTTGTAGATTTCTTTTATTAGGGTAGACATTTTCAAAATATCAATCCTGACAATCCATGGGCATGAAGAAGAATGAATCTTTTTCAATTTCTCAATTTCCATGTCTAAAGTTATCATTGTACAAAATTTCCACTCCCTTGACTAGATTTATTTCAGGATATTTTAATTTTTTGTGGCTATTTTGAATGGAATCTTTTTCTGGAGTTCTTTCTTGGTATGATTGTCATTTGTACATTAGAAAGTTTCTGACTTTTGTGTGTTCTACCACTTTGCTGAACCTACTAATCAGCTCTAAGATTTTTTTTGGTGGATTTTTTTTACATAGGGTACATATAAAGTTAGATACATTTTCCAAGAGATATTTTTTTCCCATAAATTTTCTTGAAAGTTTACTATGATTTTTCAAAGCAACACAATATTGGAAATAAAAACCATTATAAAATATAGGACACAGTAGTTTTGAAAAACACATGATGTTAGAAGGGAAAGTGGTGATAGGTATGTGGATGGAGTGGGGAACACATTTGATCAACACAGATTATAGTCACATAAAGTTGTCAGACAGTTAAACAATTTGCAAAAATAAACCACATTTGGCTAATGTTACAATTGTGTCTTCATAGCTACTGATTTTGATATATAACCGGGTTATCAATATCTAATTACTTTCCATTTTAATAACTATATTCTATTATTTAAATCATACTACACACTATTTCTTAGCTCTGAGTCACACAACTTTTTAAATGATTAGATCAATATGAATCTAAAATGACTAAACCATAGGATAAAAACAATAGGGAGTCTGATAGTCCTAATGCCTATGAAAAAAGAAATACTTTATGAACTGTCAGTACCAAGGAAGTGTTTGTGAACCCTGAAAGACCAACCAGGAGCCAATCCAATGTAACATACCAGGGTCTTTATTTACAAGCTCCAGCTTGAGCTTAACTCACTGCAGACCCACTGGCAGGTTCTGGTTGAGAAAAGCCTCGAATACTCATTGGCACGAGATTTTATTGAAGATAGCAAGTGAGGAGCGAATGTTTCTAGCCTGGCAAGCATCTAATTGGGGGCTACCATGGCCTTTAGCACCATAAACTTAACTTTTGCTTTCTTCTTAATTGGTTGTTGGGCAAGGGTGGGCTTGTAACTTGGAGGTGTAGATTTGTTGGGGAAATAACCTAGAGACTGATGTTAGAAGCTGGACTTGTTGGGGAGAGTAAACTGGAGATGTAGGTCTTGTTGGAGGGTAGCCTGGGAACTGAAGCTAGGCCCAGGTTTTATTGTGGGGGGTAACCTGGAAATGAGCTAGGTACCAGTCTGTTAGTTCACTTGAGTTTAAAATTAGGTCAGGTTCCCTAAGGTGGGGTCTGAACCCCAAAATTTTGGTCTCTTAGTACTATACATTTATATTCAGATTTATCAATTTAGAAATAATATGTGATCACAAATGAATTATGGACTGTTAGGACAATGTTTTCTTTTTGTGAGTTTGGCTGTTCTCTCTCTCTCTTTCTCTCTGTCTTTGTCTCTGTCTCTGTCTCTTTCTCTCTCTCTCTTTCTCTCTGTCTCTGTCTTTGTCTCTCTCTGTCTCTCTCTCTGTCTCTGTCTCTCTCTCTCTGTGTCTCTCTGTCTCTGTCTCTCTCTGTCTCTCTCTCTCTCCCTCTGTCTTCATTTAGATATTTGCACAGATGCATGCATCATGTGGACACACACATGCATTTACAAGCTAGAAGTCAATGTCATGTGTCTTCCAGGATCTCCACCTTAAATTTTGTGACAGGGTCTTACACTGAAATTAAAATCCACCAATTCAAGTAGGTTGTCTGGCCAATGAGCACCAGGGATCTACCCTTATCTGGTGTGAGGATTATATAAGTATATTGCCACTTCTGACCTTTTCCTTAGCTCTGTGAGTCTGAAATCATGTATCTCAGGCTTGTGTAGCAAGCACTTTACCCACTCCTGTGGTGTGAATATGCGTGGTCCAGGGAATGGCACTATTAGGAGGTGTGAGCATGTTGGAGGAAGTGCATCACTGTGGGAGTGGGCTTTGAGAGAGCTTCCTCCAGGCTGCCTGAAGATGTCAGTCTTCTTCTGTTTGCCTTTGGAACAAGAGGTAGAACTCTGAGCTTCTCCAGCATCTTTCCTGCCTGGATGTTGCCATGCTGCACACCATGATGATAATGGACTGAACCTCTGAACCTATAAGCCAGCCCCAATTAAATGTTGTCCTTTATAAGAGTTGCTTTGGCCATGGTGTCTCTTCATATTAATGGAAATCCCGATTAAGACACCCACTAAGCCATCTCCCTACTCTTGTACTTTGTAAACTATAGGACAAACTGAAACCATAACTACTTATGGTGTAACTGTATGAACAGTTCTGATGCTTTTCACTAGTGACGTATTCTGTTGAACCCCCCATCAGTTATGATGCTTATTTATACTCAGGACCATGATTTGCTTCTCTGACTAGAAGTCAAACTTTTCTCACACTTTTCTTGGGATAAATCTTTTCCTATATGCACCTTGTTTCTTTCATTATAGTCAGTGGGAACATAATGCTTTAATATACCCCTCAGCTTGTGTGTGTGTGTGTGTGTGTGTGTGTGTGTGTGTACTCACTACAGTGTGCTGGGGAGGTGTGGTGGTTTGAATGAGAATGCCCCCCATGGGCTCAGAGGTTTGAATTGTTGGTGACCAGTTGAGGTAGAATATAGAGATGTGGTCTTGCTTGAGAAACTTTGTCACAGGGTATGGGGTATTGTTTTGAAGTTGAAAAGCCATGTGTAAGTCCACGTTTGCTCTCTCAGCCTCTTATTTGTGGTTCAATACATGAGCCCCCAGTTTCTTCTACAGCTACTGTCTGCTGCTTGCTGCCATGCTTTCCCATCATGACAGACTGTTATTCATCTGGAACAAAAAGCCCAAGTTAATCTTTCTTTCCATAAATTGTCATGAGCATGGTGTTTTATTACAGCAATAGGAAAAGGCAACGCAAAGAGGTCAGAGGACAACCTCATACATCAGTCTTTGCCTGCCAGTTTGTTTCAGGAGAGTTCTCTAGTTGTGTGCTGCTGTATATGGAGGACAAGGAAGCCTACCAGCTTCCAAGGAGTCCACTGTATTTACTTCCTATCTCCCTGTGGGATTGTTCAAATTATAGACATGCAAGCTCAGCTATTGTATCTGGTTTTAATGTGGGTTGTGGGGATTCAAACACAGGTACATGGCAAGCCCTTTACCAACCAAGCTATCTCTTCAACCCAAGATATTTGAAATCTTAACAATTTATTAAATATATACTCTCATTTATATCCATAAATTTCTATAATATTACTGTACATATTAGTAAAATTATGTCCATGAACTTAAGTGGTTATTTTGAAAGTTAGTTATGAGAACTCCGTTTTATCCTTATTTTTCTTGGTTTTATGATTTGAGTTGTCATATTACCTGTTGCTTTTTAGCAAGGAACAAGAAATCTCCACACTGGAGGGTAATGGGTTATAATTTAAATTTTGTATTACCGAGTATTTGTTATTAATTATGCAACATTATAAAATATCTTATTTCAAAATACATCCAGAAAGTGATTGAAACGCAAGACCCTCTTACAACCAATGAAGCAAGTATGGAGAAGATACAAACCTACAGACCAGGTAAATTTAGAAACACAAAAAGTCTGAAAAGAACTATAGAATATTGAAGACAAACTATTCCCATCATCTCTTAGCTTTAGGACTTATTATTAGATTTGATGTAAAAGATGCACATGCCAACATCCACATTGCAAAGTAAGTTACATACAACCATGAGAAAACATTTTTAAATTGTAGTTATTTTCTGTTCATATTTATAACATTCCTCTTCCCTTTTCCCTTTTCATCTCCTCCGCTGTCTCTGCCCCTTTCTCATCCCTCTCATCTTTATGGCCTTTCTTCAATCATTATCATTATATACATGCATGCATTCACACATACACACATATGTATTAATGCAGCCTGCTGAGCCCGTTTAGTGTTGCACATATGTGTGTATATGTTTTAAGGGACAACCACTTGGTACTAGATAATGGATTATGGGTTCTTCTCTGGGGAAGACTGGTTCAAACTGGAAGGAACCCATGCTACTGGCCAGGCGGGCATTTCTGCATTCCTGGATCCTGGGGGTCCTAGTTACTCCAGGTGTTGGGCCAGATGTTGTGACCTCACCTGTGGTCCTGGGCATATCAGAGCAACTGGGAGTTGGGCTTCCTCTGGGTGTTGTAGGAGTGTGTGCAGAGCCAGCACTCCAGGTCTGCTCAGACTTTTATATTCTTATAGATAAAATAAGTGTAACTTTCTAAGCTTATTTTGCTCAGTTAAATTGTTCAGAAGCTCAAAGTGGTACACAGTGTGAAATCTAACATTTCAATACTGATACCATACACTGTTTTATTTAACATTTTGAGAAGTAACTGCTCTGAAACCAAATCAAGAAAATAGTTTTTTCTTGCTAAGTTCTGTAATGGTAATAGGAAACAGAGACGCTTCTTATTAAAAAATATTGTTACTTTATGTGTATGAGTTTCCAGCCTACGTATATGTCCATGTGCCACATGCCTTCCTTATAGTCTGTGCAGGCCTGAAGAGGTTTCCCAATCCCTGTAGCTGAAATTACAGGGCCAGCATATGGTTGCTCTTAACTGCTGCACTGTCTCTCCAGCCCCACCCACTGTTTTGTTCATCTTAGCTATTTTGACCTAAGATAAAATCTTAAAGTAGTTGCAGTTTGCACTCCCCTAATTGCTAAGGACTGTATACACTCCTACTCTATGGCTGACTTTTCTATAGATTGTGTCCTTTGCTGTAAAACAGTTTTTAGTTTTATGAGGTCTCACTTGCCAGCTGTTGACCTTAATTCCTGGGCAAGTGAAATCTTGTTCAAAATGTCATTCCTATGGCTATATCTTCAATGTAGGGAACTACTTATGTTTTTTCCCCAAAGGTTTCACATTGAGGTTTTGATCCATTTGGAGTTAGTTTTTGTTGAAAGGACACAGATGTGGCTCTAGTGTTTTCTACTACATGTGAACGTCCGGTTTTCTCAGCACCATTTTCCCCATGTGTACTTTGGTATTGTGAAATTCTAGATAGATTTAGTTTCAGATACTTGTGCCTGGGTGATTAATTTTGTTCTATTAGTCAGCAAGTCTGCTTTTGTGTCAGTACCATGCGGTTTTAATTATGATAGCTCTGCAATATCTTGAACTATGAGGTGGTAATTCATCTAGAATTAATCATTTTGCTCACTATTGCTTTGACTATCTGCAATCTTTCATAGTTCCATATGGATTTTAGGATATTTTAAAATATCTATATGAAGAATGCTGTGGGGCTTTTGATTAGGACTGCATTACATCTGTAAATTGTTTTCTATATGGTCAGTTTTACAAGATTTCGTCTAAACCATGCACGTGGAAGGCATTTCCTTTTTCTAGTGTCTTCACCAAGTTCTTTCTTCAGACATTTAAAGTGTTATCATAGTGTTCTTACCTCTTTGGTTATGTTTATTCACACACACACATACATACATACATACACACACACACACATACACACGCACACACACACACATACACATGCGCACACACACACACATGCACATACACATATTAGACCGCTGCAAATGCAAGTAGGTTCATCTGTTTCTCAGAGTCTTTGTTCTTGTGTATAAAAAGAGTACTCATTTGGTTTTTCTGTATCTTGTTGTGTTGCTGAAATTGCTAATATCATCTAGAAATTTTATGGTAGAAATTTTGGAATCTCTTATGTATAGTATCATATTATCTAATAGAGATAACATGGTATTTTCCTTTTTTAATTTTTGCTTGAATTATTTACTTTTAATTTTATGTAATCTTTTTTTTATACTCCAGATTTTATTCCCCTCCTGGTCCACCCTCTGACTGTTCCACATCCCACACCTCCTCCCCACCCCCTTGTTTCCACGATGATGTCTCAACCTCCTACCCCCCACCCAACCAGACCTCTAAACTCCCTGAGGCCTCCAGTCTCTTGAGGGTTAGGTGCATCTTCTCTGACTGAACCCAGACCCAGCAGTCCTCTGCTGTATATTCTTTAGAAGCCTCATATCAGTTTGTGTATGCTGACTGGTTGGTGGTCCAGTGTTTGAGAGATCTTGGGGGTCCATGTTAATTGAGACTGCTGGCCCTCCTACAGGGTTGCCCTCCTCTTCAGCTTCTTCCAGCTTTCCCCTAATTCAACCACCAGGGGTCAGCAGCTTCAGTCCATTGGTTAAGTGCAAATATCTGCATCTGACTCTTTCAGCTGCTTGTTGGGTCTTTCAGAGGGCAGTCATGATAGGTCCCTTTCTGTGAGTGCTCCATAGCCTCAGTAATAGTGTCAGGACTTATAACCTCCCCTTTAGGTGGATCTCACTTTGAGCCTGTTGCTTGGACAACAACAGGCTTCTTCTTTTCCTCAGGCTCTTCTTAATTTCCATCCCTGAAGTTCTTTTAGACAGGAACAATTATGGGTCAGAGTTTTGACTATGGGGTGGCAAACCCCTCCCTCCCTGCCTTCCTGCTGGAGGTGGGCTCTATAAGTTCCCTCTCCCTACTGTTGGGCATTACATCTCTCCCTTTGAGTCCTGAGAGTCTCTCACCTCCCAGGTCTCTGGTGCATTCTAGAGGTTCCCCTCAACCTCCTACCTCCTTAGGTTGCTTGTTTCCAGTCTTTCTGCTGGCCTTCAGGGCTTCAGTCCTTTTCCCTCACCCAATACCAGGTCAGGGTTCCCTCTCCCCTCCTCCCTGCCAGTCCACTTTCCCTTCCAGGTCCCTACCTTCCTCCCCACTTGTGATTGCTTTCTTCTCCCTCCCAAGTGGAACTAAAGTGTCCTCACATAGGCCCTTTAGCTTATTGACCTTTTTGGTTCTGTGGACTGTATCTTGGGTATTTTATGCTTTTTATTTTGACTAATATCTACTTATTAGTGAGAATATACCATGTATGTCCTTTTGGGTCTGAGTTACCTCACTCAGGATGATACTTTCTAGTTTCATCAATTTGCCTGCAAAACTCAGGATGTCATCATTCTTGATAGCTAAGTAGTATTCCATTGTGTAAATGAACCACATTTTCTGTATCCATTCTTCTGTCATGGGACATTTGGGTTGTTTCCAGCTTCAGGCTATCACAAACAAGGCTGCTATGAACAATATGTCCTGTGGCATGGTGCGCATATTTTGGGTATATTTCTAAGAGTGGTATTTCTGGGTGTTCAGGTAGATCTATTTTCAGTTTTCTGAAGAACCTCCAGATTGATTTCCAGAGTGGTTGTACTGGTTTGCAATCCCACCAGCAATGGAGGAGTGTTCTTCTTTCTCCACATCCTTGCCAACAACGTGCTGTCACCTGAGGTTCTGATCTTAGTCATTCTGATTGGTATAAAGTAGAATCTCAGGGTCGTTTTGATTTGCATTTCTCTGATCACTAAGGACATTGAACATTTCTTTTTTTATTGGATATTTTATTTACTTACATTTCAGATGTTATCCCCTTTTCCTGTTTTCCCTCCATAAACTCCCAATCCCATCTCTCCTCCACTTTTTTGCTTTTATACCATTTTAATTACATGTAAATATTAAGGTCAGTTCTAGGTTGAGGAACTAGCAATACAATAGATGCAAATAGTCAAGGAATAAGCAAGACAATAAACACAAATAGTCAAAGAACAAGCAAGGCAATCAACAAAGTTCCGTGATCACTCCTGTCATCACTATTTCTAAGGGCTTATCAGGAAGACCAAAATATCTGAGCCTACTTCCCTGTCCTAGCCTAAAGTAATTTTCATGCCTGAAGCCTACTTCTTTGTTCTAGCCTAAGATTGAGATTCCTGCCTGAAATTACTTCCTTGTTCTAGTCTAAGATTTAGATTCCTGCCTGAAATTACTTGTTCTAGCCTAATGTCAGATTCCTGCCTGAAGCTCATTTCCTTGTCCTTGGCCCATGTCAGATTTTTGCCAAGCAGCCCAAAAAGCTCTCCACATCTCCCCATTTTTTATTTCATAAACAAGACTGAGCCTGTCTTAGGTCGTTCTGACAAGAATGCTTTCCTTACTCATTGTGGAATATGCTTTATCAAAAGCAATGCATTTCTGTCTTAGGTTGGTAAGGTTCTATGCAGAATCTTACCCATCCTTGGCTTGCCAGCTAATTAATAACTCTGCCTGGGGATCCATTTTCAGTTTCAAGTCATGTACTTTGGCTGCCAACATGTGGATGTTGTTAAACACAAGCTTTCACATGATGGACAGGAATAAAATTATTTCCAGGACAAAAAGGGCTAGCGTGATCAAGCTTTATATGCCAGTCTTGATGCTTGATCAAAATGGAAATACTGATCTCAGGCCATGGATAATTTTTTTTAGCATTATCTGCAGCATCAAAGCTCAGCAGAACAACATTCTTTAAATTCATAACCTCATTATGCAAAGTTAAAACATTCAGAGAGGTGTTAGAATTATGCCAAAATACCCCACAAATCTCTTTAAACCTTTTCCTAATTATAATGACTATCATTGTAAATTTTAGAAGTAGCACAGTTCCATTGGTATTTGGCATGGCACTTGAGCTGGCTCCTTACTCTTAAACTCTGAACCTCCTTCCAGTAATTTGAGTAGAATAAAGAGCATCAATTCAATGT